TAGCCCCCATGAAGAAAGTGAAATCCCTCCGTGATCCTTCTGCCAAAATGTCGAAGTCAGACCCTGACAAACTGGCCACCGTCCGAATAACAGATAGCCCAGAGGACATTGTGCAGAAATTCCGCAAGGCTGTGACGGACTTCACCTCGGAGGTCACCTATGAGCCCGCCATCCGCTCGGGCGTCTCCAACCTGGTAGCAATCCATGCGGCGGTGTCTGGCCTGTCGGTGGAGGAGGTGGTCCAGGGCAGCGCAGGCATTGACACTGCACGCTACAAGCTGCTAGTGGCGGACGCTGTGATAGAGAAATTTGCTCCAATCAAGAGGGAAATTGAAAAACTGAAAATGGACAAGGACCTCTTAGAGAAGGTTTTAAGAGTTGGATCTGCAAAAGCCAAGGAATTAGCCTTTCCCATACTCCAGGAGGTGAAGAAATTGGTGGGGATTTTATAGGAAGTTTCAACTAGTTAAAGTGTGCATCTTGCCTTTTGTGCACTCCAATAAAGGCAGCCTTCCAGGCTGGTTTACTTTGTGTATACTGAGTTTGGTGTAACTGATGATTGCCTTATTTGATGAACAATGTTTTGTAGCCTTCTGTAGAGCAGTGTTCCAAATCCCATTAGCAAATGCTATAATCAGAAAGGAAAAAAGCTAAAGAAGGCACCTCTAATTACCTGAGGCATTTTGTGGTCTAAATGTATTCCCACACATGCGACTGTACTAAGCAATAACTGAGCTGTTGTGCTTCCCTCTGAAGTGCCCGCTGTGACAGGTGCACTTTCTGTCAGCTCTTTTTAAAAGCTGTACTTACATGTTGTACCTGTTTAATCCTAAATGCAGTTTGTATTCCGATTTCATAAAAATAGCTTGATTATTGTAGTTCACCGAAATGATCTTGTGTGCTGCCATCCGAAAGACCTGAGTTAAATCCCCAGGACTCATGGTGGAAAGAGAGAACTGACTCTGCATGCTGGCCCCTGACCTCCACTTGTGTGCCATGTGGCATGTACACAGACACATAGACACACACAGACACACACACATGCACGCACTAAAGAATGAATGAATGAAT